AGGCACCGAGGAGGCTCGATAAACACTAGCTAATGAAGATGCGCACCGCCCACCCTGTGTACAATGGCAAAGGCATGGCTGTGCAGAGACGGGCTGTGGGTGGAGCCAGTCCACAGATCCCCTGGGTTGTGGGAGTCCATCCTGCCTCCTTGACTGGGCCATCCTGAGCGTCAGGGGGAAGTGGCAATCTCTCTCCTTTCCCCTTCCTCCTGCACAGCTTTTATAGCGGCTGTACCTGCAGGACGTCTTGCCCTTTGCCTTCCCAGCTAGACGTGCTCTCTGCTAGCTTTGCGTGCTCAGGTGCGGGGCTTTACAGACCTACCCCTTCCCCGCTGTCATTCCCTCTGCTTCCTTCATCTGGGAAGGATCAAATAAGACAGACCCACTTCTCCTGGGGGACCCAAGCTGGCTGTTGCACAATCATTGCCTCTTCTGCCACCTGTCTTCTCTGAAGGAGCTGTCTCCAGAGATGCTTGTAAACACGGGCTCTTCCCAGGACACATGAACCTGCCATGTTAACAGCGGCCCACTGGCGGGCCTAAATGGTCCGCCTGTCTCCTTTCACCTTCACCGCAGGTAGCCCTTCTCCCCTCCTCTGGGGAGCCACACTTTGGTTGGGCCCTTTCCTGTGTCCATGGGCACTGAGTCAGGGTCAACTCCTCGAAGACCCTGGTGGCTCTGGCCGAGGCAGAAAGAAACAGAGTTAGAGCTTAACTACCAGTCCTGGGGGCTGCAGACACGACTCATTGGGAGAGAGCTTGCTTAGCAAGTAAAAGATCCTAGGTTTGATCCCTAGTACATAAGATACAGACAACAAAAACAGGTTAGAGGCATTGGCTAGCACAGCCTGTTAGAAAAGGAAGAAGGGGTCAGGGAGACACTGAAGTTCCCTAACGAGTGACAGGCAGTACTGGCTTGAACAGGGCAGGCGTGGAGAATTTGTTCCAGTAGGGAGAGGCTAGCTAGGCGAGTGGGCTATGTGACTCCAGGGTACCCCTAGGCCAATAACTGCTGGATCCTGGGGGTGCTGCAGGGGCTCACTTATGTCTCCTTGAGCAAGCCTGAGCCAGGGTTGTTCCATTATGAAATTAGAGGCAAGAGTAGCACCCAGGTAAGAGGGATGTTTGGGGTCTAGCTGAACGACACAGGTAAAGCACTTGGCACCGGGCCTGGCATGAGCGCTCAGCAAATGCTAGGGGCTGTAATGTATGTCATCACAGGTGGGGAGGTGGAAGCTGAGAAACCATTTCTGCCCCAGGAACCCTGGGCCTGCTCTTCATGTTGGAACTTGCTTCAAGTCCATCAAACGCCGAACAGCAGGGAAGATGTGGGTGGAAGAAACACACAGAGACAAACTGAATTCTAAAGCAGACCCTGGTTAAACTCACCTCCTGCAGCAGCTCTCTGAGGCCAAGGCATCTTCCAGGTCCCCAGGAAGTACCAGAAGCCAGAGTGCAAGACCTTGCTGCTGCAGTGTCTGGGCACTGATGACTTAGAAACGTGTGGGAGGCCAAGGTCACACAACCAAACTCAGCAGGGCTGCCCCAGCCCCCTGCTTGGCAGCCCACTGTTTTAGACCAAGGGGTGTGGGGCTGTTCCGGGCAGCTAGGCAGCCCTACTAGAAGTCCAGCTCCTAGCACCAGGACAAAAAGCTGAAGAGGGACACTAAGTGGTGTTAGTGATATTCACAAAGGGACAATACCTACACACCACAGTGCCTTTTCATATACAATTCCTGTGTCCCAGACACCCTCGGCACCCCGTCCCGAGAACCTCCACCTTGGCTCGCTGGCCCCTTCTAAAGCCTTGTCCCAAATTTAGCAAATCTAGTCTGCAGATGTGAGTAGCCCCCTCTCTTCAGCCCTGAACCACAGTGTTGACTCCTTGAAAATAACAATTTATATAGCATTTCTTATATTTCAGACACTGTTCTGAGTTCATTGCCCTGTGTTTCTGCCTCTTATGAAGTAGGTACTATGATCAAACCAGTTATAGATGAGGAAACAGAGACACAGAGGTCATATGGCTTTTCCAGGGTCTCCCAGCAACAAGTGTTAAAGCCTGTTATAGAACTCGGGCGGGTGGCTCCACCTACTCTATACCCTTTATGCGAGCTCCCCAATGTCAGAGACAATAGCTGATTCATCTGCTTCTGCACAGAGTAGGTGCCACTAGGGAAGACATCTGCCTGAACGAGTAAAGCCTGAATGAGACAAACGCCACACAATTTCAGCCTGTGCGTTATAACCTAGAGACACCTACCCTACACAGGAAGTCAAAGACAAGGACGCCTCTCTCTGGTTTGGCCAGTCACACACATTCTTGCAGCAGGACCTGTCTTACTGAGGCTATTTTTCCACGCCCTGGGGTTTACTTTGAAGTTATCCTCTACCATTGTCTCCTTCCTGTTTGTGTCCTCATCGCCTGTCCCACTTCCTGCCTTGACCGCTGACCTTGTCCTAGCCCTGCAGTCCTTGCACCCAAGCTGCCTACCCCCATTCTCTGTCTCTGGGCTTTTGCGATAGTGCAGGCTTACCCAAGGAGGCTGAGAACGGGAGCAACCCTGACTCATTAGGCCGACAGTGGATGGAGCTCCAACACTGACCTCAGATGAACATGGCGATGTCCTTCTCACTCTTACCTGGCCCCCACGAAGGTGGAGGCCTAGGGAAAGAGACAGCTAGCTACAGCTTGTCACACTTGTGGGTCAGGAAGATTCTCTGCCCTCCCTGTGTCCTCTGCAGCGCCCTCACTCCTATAGAAAGCATCCCTGGATCATGTGAGAAGGGTTATTCATGCAATCGTTCAGCAAATGCAGTCTGTACTCTGAGTAGAGAGACAAGACCCACTCCCGAAAAGCTAGGGCGAATGTAGAATTCAGCAGATGTCATAAACATCGTGAGAGCCAACTGAACTGCAGCGGGAGCTTCACAAAGCGAGGGTGAGGCTGAGAGCTCTGTTCTGTCCAGGTCCAGACTCCTCAGTTAGAAAGCAGGGGCCATGATGCAGCTCTTTTTTTGTTTTGTTTTGTTTTTCGAGATGGGGTTCTCCAACAGTCCTGGCTGTCCTGGAACTTGCTTTGTAGGCCAAACTGACCTCGAACTCACAGAGTTCTACCTGTCTCTGCCTCCCAAATGCTGGGATTAAAGGCCTGCGCCACCACCGCCCGGCTTCTGACGCAGTTCTTTAGGAGGACCGAATGCGATGGTTCCTCACACAGGCTGGTGCAGAGCAGCTGCTCCCTAAACCATCACTGCCTCCCTCCTTGTACAAACCACTGCCTTCTACACAGCCCTGGCCTCCAAGACAGACAATCGTATGTAAACTGCTCCATCCTTTCAGATTACAAGTACTTAAGTGGTACATCATCTACGCCTAGCAATGAACCCGGGATAGTAAGGGTCATTCTGTGATTGTGTTGTTAATTTGCTAGGGTTTATACTCCTCTCCCTCCACCAAACCTTTGAAAAAAACTGGTGGGCAAGGAACTAACCAACTATCACGTTCAGCTCTGCCTGAGACATGAAGGTTTGTCTGTTACTTGTATCCTCCACTCTGACAATAGTATTAGGCACACAGTAGGTGTTCAATGAGTAGCTGTTGCATGAAAAAGTTTTTTTTTTTTTTTTTAAAAGCAGCATGTTTTCTCTTTTCCTTCAAATAAATGAAACAAGGGAGTAGAGAGTAGGAGGAGCAAGTGAGCCGATGGCAGGATACAGGGGATGCAGGGACAAGGACATTCCGGTGCCAGACCTGTCAGCCTGGCACTCTCTACCAAGGGGATTCATCGGGGGCAACTGTACATAAGCTCCCGCTGTCAAGATGTGAGCAAGCCACTGTGTGCCCAGCTTGGGGTTTAAGCTGCATCTTACAGAAAGGCAGAGGTGGAGGCAGAGACCTGGAAGGAACGGAGGGGAGGTAAACTTGAAGAGGAGGAGGAGGGTGAGAGATGAATGGTGTGGTGTGAGGGCAAAGGGAGACAGAGAGGTGCTTGAGGAGCAGAGAGTAAGGCGGGGAGTGGGAGAAAACGGGGAGCACCATCAGTCAGCAAGTAATCGGCTGGCCTAGCTAGGTTGCAAGAGGCTTAGATCTCCTACTGCCATTGGGTGTCTCCCTCAGGCCTGTCAGATGTGGAGGCTCTGTCAGGAGATGTGGGTTTGGGGAGGCTTCTAGGTGCTGGACCACAGGAGTGTCAACACCCCTGAAATGCCAGAGAGTCCTTTTTTTCTACCCTTTCCAGATAGCATTCTAGCCCAGACCCTGGCCAGGCACGGGTAGACAGGCAGCGCAGGGAAGGAGGAAGGCCTGAGAGACACAGACCCCCAGCGGTGCTCCTTTTCATCCACTTCTTCACAACATCTCCTGGTCAGGAAAGTGGGTCAAGCCACACACATGTGACTTTCTCTGGTAAGTAGAGGACCCATTGGCCAGGGGGGCCTTCGTGTCCTGTGTTCAGCCCTGCCCATCTCTGCTCTTTTGGAGGACTGTTCAGTGGACAGGAGGTTGCTGGCCTTCTCCCCCGGAAAGGGAACACTGGCCAGAGAGATGTCGAGACAGGGGGCATGGAGCCAGTCATCTTTCTGGATAAGGAAAGACGCCTAGGTCTTTGCTTCTGGTCCCCCTCGACAAAGGTGAAGAAGCTGGCAAGAGGCCATTCCTGCTGTCCTGTCCTGACCTGGTGTCTCTCTCCACCGCCCCCCTCTCATGGGGTCTTCAAGTAGAGGGCCTGCCAGTCCATCTCTGGCAACTAGCGGCAACCAGCGCTGTGCCCAGCCCACCCCCTCCAAGCCCTGCCAGTTGCCCAATTAGAAGCTGCGTTGGCTTCAACAGATGGGAGCTGCGGCAGCCTGAGGAACAGAGCACAAAGCCCAGCTGACATTTTCCTTCCTGTTCATTTGGTGGGGGAGGAAGGGAAGGGGCCGCAGGGAGCATTGTAACACCCCACTAGGGCCCACCCCCGGGGTCCAGTTCACCCCACCTCTTCTGTCCTCTCCGTTCAGCTGCCTCACCCCGCCACTCACGGCTCTTGGCTGGCCGGGCAGCCTGCGCCCGCACAGCCCTGTCATGCCAGCAGGACAGACGGCCCACCTGTGGCTGACCAGCCCGGCCTGCCCTGCTGTGATGCGGTGGTCTCGGAGCTGCTTCAAACCACACAGCGCCCAGGCTAAGCCCGGCTGGCCCCTCCCCCTCTCAAATGTCCCATCCTAGACTGCAGTCAGACCCCAGTCTCCCACACCGGAGAAGCGTGGCTCTCGGTGCCAGATACTTCGAACAGACCCAACCGAGGCCATCCTGTCTTTTCCGCACTGCCACCACCCGAGCTCCTAGGAAGAGAAAGTCCCCTAGGCTCTGGTGCGCTTCCACCCTGTGAGTCCGCCTCTGTCACGCCCTCTCAACCCCAGGGCCACCTCTTCGGTTCCTCTACATCTCCATGGCTCCCCGCTACCCAGCAACAGTTTGAGGGTTTGGGGCTTCTCTTAATAGGTTCAGGACCCGACCCCCACCCCCGCCGCTCGGGTCCAGGCGGTGCAGAGGCCACCTCCTTTGCATTTTCCAGCTCTCCTTCTCTCGCCCCTCCCGGCCTTCTCCCAAGTCACCAGCTCTCCTGCAGGCATCTTGGCGACCGCCGCGGTCGCGGCCGCGCTCCCCTCCCCCACCCGGTCAGCAGAGTCCGAGCTGCGGGGACCGGATCGCGGCGATCCTCGCGGCCAAACCAGAGGCCTCGGCGTCCACGACCCAGGCCGCCCCTGAGCCGCACACTCACCGCGTGGGAGCCGTTCTATGTCGCTCGCCTCTCGGCCGGGGATGTTGCCCGCGCCCTCCGCGACGCGCCGCCACCCAGGCCCGGGAAGCTCGCAGGGCGCCTTCCCCAACCTGCACTTGTCCTGGGAGTGGTCGCTATGCCGGGCCTGCGAGGACGTCAAGGGAATGGCAGTGTCCCCAATCCTGTGTGCCGCGGCCGGAGGCTGGCGGCCAGGGCCGGCGCTCCCGGAGCGCCGCGCGTCTGCCGACAACAGAGCAGGCCCGCGGCGCCCGGCGCCCCCGCCGCGCCTCCTCCCTCCCGGCTGCTCGCGCTCGTCCTCCTCACTAGCTGCTCCACAGCGCTCCCAACCTCCCCAGCCCACTCTGGTCGCCTCCTCCCTGTCTGCTTGCCACGCCAACCCCCTCCAGTCCCGCTGCCATTTTAACTCCTGAGTGGCCAGAAGCCCCTTCTGCTTCACAAGGCACACACCCCAGAGGAAGGAATTGGGTGGAGCACGATGATGTAGTTTGAGCGGTTCTTCTGCATCAAGACCCAAGGCTTGCAGGAGAGAGGGAGTAGGGCATGACGCTTGGAGCTCGGTGGGGGAGAAGTGAATGGCATTGCTGATGCTCCCTCCGACTCTCTTGCAAAAGCCAGAAGAACAGGTGGGGGATTCAGTGTGTAGGACAGGTGTGGCTCATAGGCACAGCTGGGTCTGAGACCACAGTTTTGTATACTGCTAACCTCCCCTACTGCTACCCTCCCCGTGTTAATGGTGGGTAAAGTCAGTAGCGTTGGGTGAGTTTGTCCATTGGACTGGTGACTGTTCTAAAGGGAGGAGTAGCCTTTCCAGCATTGTCTCCAGAATAGGCCACTCTAGCCTTCTGACACTTAGGAAAGGGGGTTAGTCTCAGTGGGATTGAGGACCCACCCAAACATGGCTTAGGGTTCTCCACCTGCAGGCTGGCCATCAGGAAGCCATCAAACTAGGAAGTGGAGCAAGATCCCATGTATGCAGAAAGGGTTGCTGGGCTACTGCTTGGTAGAAAATTTGGGTCACTACCACACATGGGGGCTTAGAAGAGCACATCTCCTGCCGCAGTTAAGGCTTCAGGCCCAAGGCTTCAGACCCAAGTGTTTGAAAGGCCTTTGGTGTGGTCCACTCAGAATGGACACCAGAACTCAGCTTCATAGCAGGCCACACCCAGTCAGAGCCTGGAAAAATCACTAATAGAGAAGATGGAGCCCAAGGCACGGGGACTTCTGGAAGTCAGGGCCTCCAGAAGTCAAGATTCTTGACACCGGGCTTCAGCTCAGTGCCCCTGGCTAGACACAGAGCTTCTGGGTCTTGCTTTTTCGAAGGGTATAGCTAGCAGTGACAGCCATGCCTACAGGCTTGCAAAGAGGACTTGAAGTACTGTATAGATGGAGGAGCTGGCCCTTCAATCCATCCAATAATCGCATACTAAATTTCTGCTAAACTGCTCCCAGGCCTCCACCCGCCACCCCTGCTGTGGGGTATAATGGCCTGCAGGAGCCAAGGGAGACAAGTTGGAAGTGCATGAAACAAATTTTAGCATTTCAAGGCAATGGAAGGTGCCGTAGAAACACAGAAAGAAAACGCCATTATGGGCTCTGGTTATTCATGGGAGGTTTTACAGAGGAGTTGAGCTTCCAGCTGAGCCCAGCTGGAGGGATAGGATTTAAACTGGCAGAGAAAATGGGGTCCAGCAAGGCAGGAAAGTTGAGGCAAGCAAAATAGAATGGGCTGTTTGGAGGGGGAGGGCATCGGAAGAAACTTAGAGGCGAACTATGAGGCACCAGCCTTTCCACACAGCCATTGTCGCAAACTGACTTACAGTCCCATTTAACAGCCTAGAGAACGAAGGCTGGGAGCAGGTGGAATTCCAGCCCTTGTTCTGGTCGCGGGCCAGGAAGGCTGGGAGCAGGTGGAATTCAAGTCCTTGTCTTGACCACACTCTCGCACTAGTTAGTAGTAGTTACTTCAGTTACGCAGACTGGGAGCCCGTGATCAGGGCCTTGAATCTGTGGGCGCAGATGTTCACCTGTGGCCCAGTTCACAGTGATTGTGATAAAGAGAGGCCAGAGGCTGGGAAGGTGGCCGTTCTAGAGACATGGAGAGAGAACAAATGCTCCACCCTGTAAGGAAGACTGGCAGAGCCTAAGTGAATAGAAGGATTCAAAACTTGGCCCCAAGTTTTTGAGTCTGAGCTTAGGAAACACTTGCCAAGTCAACGGAGCCATTTTTCCAACCTGAAGGCCACCTTCAATGTATGCAGACTGAGTACAGAAGGAGGAGATTTTGCTAAGCCTACCCAGCTCCAGGTCTGAGTTGGCACTCACCCTCCTCCCTGACCCCCATTACCCACACCACCAAGTGTGTCTTAGCCCAGCTGGGGCACACCAACTCTGGAAGGCTGTGCCTGACACATGCAGCACTGACATGAAGCTAGGATGTCCCAGTGGCTGCAGAACAGCTGGCTGCAGCTGCTACCACTGTTGTAGCTTTTGAGACAGGGTTTCTGTTTGTAGCCCGGGCTCTCTTCAATCTTGTGAGCCTCTCCTGTTTCACACTTCTAAGTGCTGGGATCACAGGAGTGTGCCACCACATCTGTTAATAACTAGATTAGTGAACGAAGACTACTGGCTGATCCCCAAGCGACAGACCCTGTTTTGCACACTAGGTGTAAACATGAAGGAATCGCGTGAGCTCTTATAACCCAGTGGGAAAGAATTTAGAGTCAGGTAGAGCTGGGCCTCAAACTTACTGGTCCACACTCTGTGTGGCTTTGGGAAGCTCATTGGACTTCTTTTTGCTATGTAAAAAAAATTAATGCTTAATTTAATTCATGGAGACCAATCTATTAGTCAAGAGTAGAATGGGCATTTGCTGATTGGGCACCATAGGCAAGGGTGGTGATCTCATCTGTGAATCATCTAACTGAAAAGAACAACAGGCACAGTGATGCCTAACCCAGCTGTTTTAGAGGCTCAGGCAGGAAGAGCATAAGCCTGGACAATTTATCAAGACCCTGTTTCAAAACAAAAGTAAAAAAGCGGGTGTGTGGCTCAGAGGTGCGGCACTTGACTAGTGTGCATAAGGCCTTGGGTTCAGTCCTCAACACTTAAAGAAAACAAACACAGCAACAAAAGAAGACTCTCCCACCAAGACTAGGACTCTGGAAATAGGAGATCAACTTCTTATAATCAGGACATAAGAGGGCTGAGATCAGAACTCATGGCCATTGTGCGAAGAATCCACACGTGGAGGAGGTTGCCTGTTACACTTCTTTCAGAACGAGGATATCAATGAGTGTGCATTCAAGGCTGATCTGAGGTAGAAGAGGGGCACACGTCTAAGGTAAACAACAACACGTTCTCTCAACTCTCTCCATGCTACCATTTCCCCTTTATTTTTAATTTATATGTATGGGTGCTTTTTCCTGTGTACCACATGTGTCTGCTCACAGAGGGGGAGAGAGGACATTGGATGCCCTGAAATTGGAGTTACAGTTGGTTGTAAATGTGGGTGCTGGAAATCGAACCCAGGTCCTCTGGGTGAGCAACCAGTGCTCTTGACTCCAGCCTCAAATAAACTTTTTTGTTTTTGTTTCTGTTTTGTTTTTTGAGACAGGGTCTTGCTCAAAGTCTTGTAAGGAAGACTTGGAAGAGTCTAAGTGGGTAGGTAGAGGGGTTCAAAAGTTGGTCCCAGGCTTTTGAGTCTGATCTTACAGACACTGGTAAGGAGTCCTTCGCTCTTCTAGCCTTAAGGCCACCATCAGTGTCTACAGTCTGGCGTCAGAAAGGTGTGGCCTGGAATGCACTGGTAGACCAGGTTTGCCTTAAACATGCAGAGATCCACTTGCCTCTGCCAGCGGTGCCATCCTCAGGCAGATGCTTCCCTGGGAGGAGATGTGCAGTCCTTTGGAAGCCTGTGGGGACTTATGCAGAGGATTTAATGGCTCTGTTATTGACCTTTTGCCCTCCAAGTTTAATCTCTGGGTTTTATAAGTCATTGTCCTGCCAGGAAGCCTAAGACTCAAGAACATCAGAGGGTCTCGAGAGGGATGTTGGGATTATGTACCCCTAGAAATAATCCAGGAAGCCTAAGACTCGAGAACATCAGAGGGTCTCGAGAGGG